GGGAGGCGGGCGGCGCCCCCACCCTGAGCGCGCGGCGCCCTCTGCAGGCCGCCCGCGGCCGCATGCCGGTAGCCTCCGCCTTCCTCTCCTCCCTCTTCCCGCCTTCCTCGGGCCACATATTTTGTCGTTATCGCTGTTTCCGAGACTTCCTAAGCCTCCGACTTCCGTCCCTTCGCCCCTCTCTCAAGCCAAGGATGTCAGTGTCTTTCCGGGAGGACTGCCAATAAAGTTTTTCCTCTTCTCGCTCCTAGGCTCCCTCCCTCGCCTCAAGTACCGCGAGATCGGGCGGCGCGGCGACGATGGCGGCGGCGTTTGAAGCCCCCGCGGCCTTAGCGACGGTGGAGGCCGCTGTGCCGGCGGAGCGTGTGGCCGCACAGCTCGCGGCCTCGGAGCCAGTCCCCGGGCCGGTGCGGAGCCTGCGGACGGCTCACGACGTCAGCGGGCCGCGGACCCGCACGGGGGACGTGCTGCTGGCGGAGCCGGCCGACTTCGAGTCACTGCTGCTGTCGCGGCCCGTGCTGGAGGGGCTGCGGGCGGCCGGCTTCGAGCGGCCCTCGCCGGTGCAGCTCAAGGCCATCCCGCTGGGGCGCTGCGGGCTCGGTGAGGGCGGGGGCCGCGCTCGGGCCGGGAGGGTCCGGGAGGAGCCCCAGGGCGGCCGCCGCTGCCGGCCTCGGCCTGCGGCCGGGCGCTGTGCGCCTTCGAGCCTCAGTTTCCTTTCTTGTAGAACAGAGACGCGGTGTTCAGTTGGAAGATGGTTACGGCCCTTTGTACAGTGACAGGGGACTCTCAATTCGAGAAGATGAAGTAGCGGTTCAGGGAAGAGGCATGTTTCCGGATGTGGCCTCATGCTTTTTTGAGTTAACTACAAACGAATGTGCCAATTCGGTGATCTCTGGAGAACCTTCTGGTTCTGTGATTTCATGTTGGTGTTTAAGCTTCTTTAGTCAGTACTGGCTAGTGATGCATGTATCTTTTTCTCCTCAGATTTAATTGTTCAAGCCAAATCTGGCACTGGGAAAACCTGTGTGTTCTCTACCATTGCTTTGGACTCTCTTGTTCTTGAAAACCTAAGTACCCAGGTGAGTGTAGCTCAGAGGACCCAAAGGAGGGTATGTGGATTTTATCACAGGTTGGATGCAACACCAGTAGCTTCTGAGAGACAGAAGAGATGAATTTGATGATGATTGAGTTAAGCCATATGAAAAGTATAGAAACAAAGTAGACATTAAAGCTGTTGCGTGGCTGTGGTGTGGGTGGTAACCAAGGATCCCTCATTAGTGTTAGAGGTTTGGAAATTTCTGTTACTGCATCTTAAATAGATTAAGTCTGCCATGTGTGTCAATTTTTTCACTACCTGAAAATACAGATAGGTTTTCTTTACTCTTTTACTTGCTGACCCGAATGTGGTAGGATTTAGTATTTGGCCTGATTGATGATAACGTGGTGCTCTGGCTATTGCTGGCACTGTGAGTGTGTTCTATTGATCTCCCATCTTCTAGGTTCTCTTGGAGTAGGTCTAAAGATGGCCTTACCCAAATTAATAAGCGATTTAGGTTTGGGGGGATCGTTTCTTCAAAAAAGTTTGGCTGAGCCCATGTTATGTATAAACAGTATGCCAGTACATCCATATTCAAAGCTTTTTGAGTCTTATAACCACCAAATTCTGGGTTATGCACATAGGAAATCCTTCTGCTTCCCAAAGACTTAAGCTAGTCTACTTGTGAATTTGAGATGTAGTCGAGATTTTGGCTTCTGACAATTTGGCAGTAGGTGAAATGCCAAAACGCTGAATAAGTTCCATAAACCAAATTTGAATTTTTAAACTTCAGATCTTTGTGTTCGCAAAGTAATACATATTCATTTTTGAAAAATTGGAAAATTCAGAAAAGTAAACAAGTACCAGGAAACAGCACATAATTTTACCTACCCAGAAAGAAACTGCTGTTAACTGTTTTGGCATATTTTCCTCTAGCTTTTTTTTTTTTTTTTTTTTAAGGAGTTTTTTTCTTCTCATAGCTGAGAACGTGTAGTTTCACCTTGTCCTCCAGTTGTTATATTGCAGAGTTCTCACCGTGAGTCTCAAGGCTCCTTTTTCATGGGCCTAGATATCTGACCCTGATTTGGTCCAGTGGGCTTCCCTGCTATTCCTCAAGCACACTAAGAACATTATTGTTGTAAGGCCTCTACATTTGCTGTGTTCTCTTCTCGAAAACAGTTCCCCAGGTGTCACACAGCTAGCTCTACTCTGTGGTATACATTTAGGTCTCTGCTCAGATGTTATGCCCTTAACGCCCTACGGCCTTCCTAGATTGCCCCATTTAAAATAACTCCTTCCCTTCCTTGTCACTTCTCTCTTTTCCCTGTTTGATTTTTCTTTATAGCACTTTTCATTGTATGTCATGATTTATGTATGTTTGTTTATTGTGTATGTTCTTATACAGAATGAAAGTGCCATGAGAGCAAGCACTGTGTATTGTTTTTTTTCTTTTTTTAAAATTTTATTTATTTATTTGAGAGAGAGAGACAGAGACAGGGCATGAGCCGTGGGGAGGAGGCAGAGGGAGAGGGAGAAGCAGATTCCCCGCTGAGCTGGGAGCCCCATGTGGGGCTCGATCCCAGGATCCTGAGATCATGACCTGAGCCCATGGCAGACACTTAACCAACTGAGCCACCAAGGCGCCCCTGGACTGTGTATTGTTGACTCTACAGCAACTTACATGTTGCCTAGTACATATAGTAGGTTCTTGTTTAATAACATTTGTTGAATGAATACATAAGTGAATGAATGGAGTAGCTTCCCTTGTCTATAAAAACTCATCATTTAAAATGGTTGTTTAAATGAAAAATAGCTCACTGTAGTATAAGCGTGCCAATCACATGTATCATTTCCACTGACTTGTTAAAGGTATATATATTTTATGCTTTTTTAGATTTTGATCTTGGCTCCTACAAGAGAAATTGCTGTACAAATACATTCTGTTATTACAGCTATTGGAATAAAAATGGAAGGCTTAGAGTGTCATGTTTTTATTGGAGGGACTCCATTATCACAAGACAAAACCAGACTTAAAAAGTGTCATATTGCTGTTGGCTCTCCTGGTAAGATATCACCCTGTTTATAACTGGGGCTTTTAAGGAACTGAATGTTTTTCATATAAGTAATATAATTAAGTTAAGAATATGGGAGTCTTTAGTAACTATGATAATTATTTTGAGGATTATAAATGAAGAGGCTTAGACTAGTGAGGTATAGACACGTGACTGGATTACCAAGAGGACTTGTGAAATCTCCATAAGGATGTTTAAGCACATGTATGGAATTGGCTTCTGAGAAGAGGAGGAATGAGATGATTTTCAGGAAGCCTTTCTAAGCCATAGATTGGGATTATTCTTTGCTTCTCTCTTAATCATTCAGTCGTGAATCACTCAAATCAGAATTTAGTATTCAGGGCCTTAGCATTCAGTCTTTTTTGATGAGAACAGTGTTATGATCCATACTTACTGGTGGTGAAATGTGAGGGAAAAATAATGGATTTAGGCAAGATCAGAACTCAGTTTCTGATTTGTGGTTCAGTGTATAAATGCATAATAATGAGGGTCAGGTCAAGAAGGTCAGCAGTATGAACGGTGAGTAAGTAGGCTAACAACATTGACTGAGATGTGCACACATTCAGTGCATCTTAAATATTTTCAATATGCTTTTTTCTGGAATTTAGGCAGAATTAAACAACTGATAGAACTTGACTACTTGAACCCAGGCAGTATACGTCTCTTTATTCTTGATGAAGCAGATAAGCTGTTAGAAGAAGGCAGCTTCCAGGAGCAAATAAAGTAAGAGAAATAACTTGCTTGACTATTAAAATGGTGTCCTAAAGTGTCTATTTTTAGCTTTTCCAGGTGCTAATTACTGGGATTGGTTTCCGTGGTATGTATTTCTCTTCTGTTTTGCAGCTGGATTTATTCTTCCTTGCCTGCCAGTAAACAGATGTTGGCAGTGTCAGCTACCTACCCTGAATTTTTGGCTAATGCTTTGGCAAAGTACATGAGAGATCCCACTTTTGTAAGACTAAATTCCAGTGATCCGAGTCTCATAGGTGAGTATAGATATTGGATACTTACATTCCTGGTTTGTGATATTCTGGAGCTTTCCCTTGCCTAGTTGGCTGCTGTTTTCATATTTGCTGTAGCAAATATGTTTGTTTTAACAGAAGACTTTTGACTTCTTTCTAGGTTTGAAGCAATATTACAAAATTGTCAATTCATACCCTTTGGCCCATAAGATTTTTGAGGAAAAGGCTCAGCATTTACAGGAACTATTCAGCAGAATCCCGTTTAATCAAGCCTTAGTCTTTTCTAATTTGCACAGCAGGTAATGTACCTTAAGAGGTCACCTGGAGAACTTGTGAAATAAAAGGTGTAGGGCCATATTTATAAAATTATAACTCTCTATGTTATTTTTCGTAGAGCACAACATTTGGCAGATATCCTTTCTTCTAAAGGCTTTCCTGCTGAGTGCATTTCAGGTAAGTTCATCTCTTATTTTAATCTTTGTTTAGTGTTCTGACTTGAAGCCTGTCCAAAGTCAGGAGGAAGAAATACTACTTCGTGAGTTGTCTTGAGTGTGAGGTTACACTGAGTCTCCAGAGTAAAGGAGATTTCAGGTGAATATTTCATTGGGATTTGATATATCGATATCCTTGTTGTTTAAGAAGTAACTTGGTATATAATATGAAATTAGGAAATTGGAATGGATTGTCGATAAAGAACTTAATAATTTTATAAAGTTTGTCTTTGTCATCTTCAGAGAAAAATATTTTGCTTCTTTCCATAATCATTGTAAAAATGCTAAGAATTGCTACTGAATTAACTGCTTTAAGGTCTTGTGGAAGGCAAAGATGATTCTTCTTTTTAAGATTTGATTTTTAAGTAATCTCTATATCCAATATAGGGCTCGAACTCACAACCCTGAGATCAAGAGTTGCATGCTGTACCCACAGAGCCAGCCGGGTGCCCCAAGATGATTCATTTTTGACACATAGCTAAATTATTGCTGCTGATCTAATAGGAATGAAAGATTTAAAGGAATTTTTGATCAGTGAGCTCCTTTTTAGAATTTTCATTGCTAGCTTAGTTTTTAACCTGTTAGCCTAAGCTTGTCTAGTCTTTATATATCATGAGATACTGGGGAGACTTTATTAATGGACAATATTTTGACCATAGATCACGCTTCAAAACAAAATTTATAAACAGCTAATTATAGCAATTTTATTTTCCTAAGAATTACTCTACTTCATGTGTAACTTTGCAGATACAGTGTTATATCTGCAGGCATAACCTAGTCACCATTTAAAATTAATTTTTGAATTTCAAGTTGACTGCCTAACCAGATGTTTTTTTTTTTAAAGATTTTTTAAATTTATTTTTTGACAGCGAGAGAGGGAACACAAGCAGGGGGAGCGGGGGAGGGAGAAGCAGTCCTCCCGCGGAGCACGGAGCCTGACGCGCGGCTCGATCCCAGGACCCTGGGATCATGACCTGAGCTGAAGGCAGACGCTGAAGGACTGAGCCACCCAGGCGCCCCCTAACCAGATTTTAAAAGATTCTGACTTTAGGTCTTAACCTAGATTTGCACGTAAGGAGAGAATTAACTTTGTTTGGTAGTTATGATTTCTGCTTTTTGTGGACTTGATAAATATGTATTAGCTTGTTTTTATATGACTTTCTTTTTGGGTGTTTTTAGGCAACATGAATCAGAATCAGCGTCTTGATGCTATGGCCAAACTGAAGCAGTTTCATTGCAGAGTCCTCATTTCCACAGATTTGGTAAATTGCCTGTTCAGTCTGGGTGACTAATCCATCCTGACTTGGGCTCTATTATCAGATGCACAGGTTTCATTTATTATTTTATCTGGGTGTATCTGATAAGAATACCAGAAGGGAATTGTCTTTCCAGTGCTGGGGAATTTGCTTTCTTCAAAGTCTTTTATATTTTCATGTTTATTCTTGAAACTAGTCATTAGAAATGAATTTCCTTTTCCTTTGCTCCTAAATATCCTCCTGGTCTTAACTTGGCTCTTGGTTATATTAGAGTAAGCGGGTGTACGTTGGTGCCCATGTAGCAGTTAACGCAAACACTTCTTCTCTTCTTTAATTTAAGACTTCCCGTGGGATTGATGCTGAGAAGGTGAACCTGGTTGTAAATTTGGATGTACCATTGGATTGGGAGACATATATGCATCGGATTGGCAGAGCTGGCCGTTTTGGTAAAAAAAAAAAAAAAAGAAAAGAAAAAAAAAAAGTTTGGCTGCTTTCTTTAGGAGGAAGAATTACAAATATGACAGGTGGAGTGACATGTATGTGAAATTGATCTACATAACATTCCCTCTGTGCTTTAGGTACTTTGGGGTTGACAGTGACCTACTGTTGTCGGGGAGAAGAAGAAAACGTGATGATGAAAATTGCCCAGAAATGTAACATCAACCTTCTTCCTTTACCAGGTACATTTTGTCTATTTCATTTTGCCATCAGAAGAATAATCGTATTGGTGATAGGCCTCATAAAAATAATAGCTGACACGGAGTACTTAGGATGTGTTGGGTCCCGTTCAGTATGTTAACTCCTTTAATTCTTGCCACAATCCTGTGAAGTGCGTGCTATTATTATCGACTTCTTGTGAATGAGGATATTGAGGCATTGAGAAGTTAAGTAATTTGCCTAAGTTCTTATAGCTCATAAGCAGCAGGGAGAAGATTGTAAGGTAATTCCTGGCACATGAAAAATGTTTTACTACTGTATTAGCTCTATATTTTAGTTTGTAGCCTTGCAATTTCATTTTATTCTTTTATATAACAGGGCATATATTTTATTACTTTTGTCACTTTAAAGGTAATTCTTGCCATATTCTCCTTCGTCACCATGAGGAAGGAGTAGTATCTTTAATTTGAATGCTATTTTGAAAATTTTGGAGTGTTTTCTTTCTTTTCTTTTCTTTTTTTTTGAGTTTATTTATCTACTTACTAAGTAATCTCCACACCAACATAGGGCTCAAACTCATGACCCCGAGATCGAGTTGAATGCTCTTCCAACTGAGTCATCCAGGAACCCCTGCTACAATGTTCTCTTTTGATTTTAGTGACTCATTTGTCAGGCTGATTTTTTTAAGTGCCACCTGGGAAATTGCATGTCCAAGACTATTGATGATCTCTTGAAAATTTAAAAAAAACTGTCATGTAGAAATGTGGTTTATTTGCTACATTTGTTAATGTATGCAGTGTTAATGTGTGTGTATGTATACACGTGTATATGTAGATACGTGTGTATATATATACACAGATATATACTTATATAACATATATGTGATCTTCTAGAATATGGGATATGTAGTTATTGAATAAATACAGCGTGGAATATTTTATTTATTTATATATAACTTCTTTAGTGATTTTTATAAAGCTAGACTAAGCACATGTCTGGGAATTCTGGCTTTATAATAACTCATTTTTTAATCTTTTCACAAATTTCTTTAATTGCTCTAAGCTTGTGTTCTGATTTAGAAAATATTTGTTTTTAGAAATGGTCTGTAGGTTCTTTGTCAGTTTTAAGACACTACAGTATGTTAATTCTATGTGTAAGTCTATTGGTAACCTGTCAAATGATTATAATGTGGAAAAAATAAATTGAAAATTGGTATAAGAGGGTTAAGACTTTGGGTAGGATTCAGTATCATAGCATTTAGTGATAAAAAGAAAATTTGCCTTTGGATATTGGAAAATGACTTATTTGGATCTTTATGTAATGTTAACAGAGCCCTGAAATCATGAGAAAGTGTATTTGTGGTGTTAGACTTATATTGGACTAGGAACTTGTAGGCTGCTCAGATTAAGTACCTGGGGCAGGAGTGGGAGAGAAATTGGCCTGTTTTATAGGTGTTGGCAAGCAAAGGATATCACCTTAGTAGGAATCAAAGTTCTAGTCAGAGGGTCTATTCAGCCAGAGATCAAGAGCCCCAGCTGAAGAGTCCTGATCCGAGGGATTAGGTAGTGGGTACATATACATGAGCACCAATAGCAACAATAAACAGGCAAGACCTGTGTAAATCATGGGCTCTGTATGTTTTGTGTGCCTAAGATGAAAACTGATCACACTTTGGGAAGGTCAGAGTGTGCAGGTGGGAGCGAATTGTCCCACCTGGATGGAATAGGAAATTTAGAGAGCTGGAGCCAGCAAATTTTTTAAAACTTACAAGTGCTGTTGAGACCATAGATCTTTTTTATAGTCATCTAACTTTTTCCCCTGTAGAGGTTTTTCTCCACTGTTGGAGGCAGTGATTTCTCCCTGTTGGGAGTATAGAGGGACAGATTTACTTGGGTGCAGAGTTGCAATTGTAATATTTCCCAGCTGATAAGCTTTGGGGGGAGCACAATCCGTTTTCTAATATCTTGTTTTACTGTTGGCATTAGTGAGATCAAGGGGAGGAGTTGGGGAGAGTGAGGAGGGAAGAGATGGGAGAATTGCTGAAGCCTTGGACCTTACTCCTATTGTAAGCTCTTTTTGAGTGGGAGGTATGGGGGGGAGATATTGCTTGTGGATATGGGATGGGTCTTGCATATTTGGGGGCATATTTATTTACTGCAAGGATTGTTTAGATCTTTTAAGATACTAATATAATGTAATCCTTAAACTTCTTGGTATATTATTAGTATATTTTATTTCTTAACCTTATTTGACCGTGGAAAGCTTTATGAAGTCATTCAAAAATTGCTGATCTAGAGCAGCTCACACTTTTAATATTCTTCTGTTCCTTTTATGTAGATCCCATTCCTCCTGGTCTAATGGAAGAATGTTTGGATTGGGACATGGAGGTTAAAGCTGCTATGCATACGTATGGCTTAGCAAATATACCTACCCAGCCCTTAAAAAAGCAGATCCAAAAAATGGAGAGAACCTTTCAAACTCAGAAAGGTCATGGTAACCACGTGGCTTCATCTAAAAATACTTCTGTATCTTCACTATTAGTCAAATCGAAAAATAATCCTAAACAGAAGCTTCCTGTGAAAAGCCACTCAGAGTGTGGAGTCATAGAAAAAGCAATGTCACCAAAAGAAGTGGGCTGTGGCATACAATTGGAAGAGCAAATGAAGAATCCTGTTGAGATCTCTGTTGAAAACTCTACCAGTCAGCACCAGGTCAAAGAAGCTTTACCTGTGTCACTGCCCAAAATTCCTTGTCTGTCTTCCTTTAAAATCCACCTGCCATACTCTTTGACTTTTACAGAATTGGTGGAGGATTATGAACACTATATTAAAGAGGGGTTAGAGAAGCCTGTGGAAATCATCAGGCATTACACAGGTCCTGGGGATCAGACTGTGAATCCTCAAAATGGTTTTGTAAGAAACAGAATTCCCGAGGAGAGAGTGCCGATATTGGCAAGTAGTAGTCAGTCTGGAGACTCAGAGAGTGACAGTGATTCTTACAGCTCGAGGACTTCTTCCCAGAGCAAAGGAAATAAGTCCTACTTGGAAGGCTCTTCAGATAGTCAGCTGAAAGACTTGGAATCCACTCCTGTGGATGGCCCTATCTCTTTGGAACAACCTCTGAATGGAGACGACACCCCTCATCCAGCAGAGTATCAAGAATCACCTGGAATCCAGACAAAGGCCAGGCATAAAGAGGGGGCTAACCAGAGAGCTAAGCAGAGCCGGAGAAACCCTCCCAGGCGGTCTTCCTATCGAGCGCAGGCAGAACGTCAGGAAGATGGTTGGTATGACTGCCACAGGGAAACACATCCAAGTTTTTCTGATGCCTATCAGGATTATGAGGAATACTGGAGGGCTTACTACAGGGCATGGCAGGAGTACTACGCTGTTGCCTCTCAGTCGTATTATTGGAATGCTCAGAGGCATCCAAGCTGGATGGCGGCTTATTACATGAATACCATTTATCTCCAAGAAATGATGCGAGGCAACCAGTGATTGTAGGCGGTACCTCACCCCATCCAGAAACACCAATGAGCGATACCTTTGGATAGCCAACCTCCTTGGCCTGTATAGTAGAGTGGCATTTTTGAGGAATTTGAAACGTCTTGAGGCTTCCCGCTGGGACACATCTATTTTTCAGATTGTTTTGACGTACCTGATGAGGTACATTATCTTTTTTTTTTTTTTTTTAAGAAACTTCACGGATCAGATTCTTGAAGGAAAATTTTGGGGACACAGAGCTAAAAGTCCTAGGATGCCATTTTCTGTAAGCCATTTGGAAAAGAAACATTTAAAAAGACTTATACCACTGCTTACTTTAAAAAAATAAAAACAGTTGAGATTTAAAAAATAATGTTAGTTTATGCTGTGGAGTTCTTGACAAAAGGCTTGGACTGTATTTCCACAGAGGTGTGTTCTTGTAGAAATCTGTAGCATGGTAGATCAGAAAATCCCCTCGCCTTTTATATTTAGGCAGGAAGGAATAAAATATTGCTTCAGACTTTTCCAAAGGTACTTGCCTTCATGCTCTTTGCTTCCAGTAAAAATATTTGTTACCAGTAAAAATGCAAACTTAGTCAAATGTTTATTGACATGTTTATTGTTCATCTTTTGAATGTCTTTTGTTTTTAAGATTGAAAAGCTGTCTATGTTTTTACTGTGCATTAAATAGCTGAGGATCATCAGTGGCTGTCTTATTTTTGTTTCTCAAGAAAAGGAGTAACTCTTACTCTTTGTTGGTTCTTGGATCCTTTTAGGGGTCTGATGAAAGCTATAGATTTGTAGAGTTTCCATTCTGTAAACAGGAACTGTGTATGTAATTCCAAGAGGTTCACAGACCCTCTGAAGCCCATGTATGGAACCCAGATTAAGAACTGCACTACTCTGCTGGGAGGCTAAGGGAAAGGTCTAGGTCTTTAAGTATTTTTTGGAAACTGGAACTCAGTTCTGTTCAGACTCTTCCCACAGTGTGTCCTGATCTTATGTCTTCTAGAAATTTCCCCCCAGTTTTTACTTTTCATGTTTTTAATGTAAATTTTCTCCCAGTTTCTGCTTTTAATGACACCTAGTAGGGAGCATCTCATTTTTCTGAGATGGTGCATCTATAAATTACAATTTAGAAAAAATGTAATTGGAAGTTACAGCAATGCCCCCTTATCCGAGATTTTGCTTTCTGCGGTTTCAATTACCTCCAGTCAACTGTGGTCCAGAAGCAGACGATCCTTCTGACATACTGTCAGGCTGGTAATAGCCTAATGCTATGTCACAGTGCCTACATCATTCACCATCACGTGTGCATTCTATCAGCTCACATCATCACAAGAAGAAAGGTGAGTACGGTACAATAAGATTTTCAGAGACCATATTCACACAACCTATAGTTTGTTGTGATTGTTCTATTAATCTCTTACTGTGCCTTGTTTATCAACTAAACTTAATTATAGGTATAGGAAAGAACAGGTATATATAGGATTTGGTACTGTCTAGTTTCAGGCATCCACTGGGGACCTGGAACATACTCTTTGTGGATAAGGGGGGGGACAACTGTACCCATTCTTCCTTTTCTGTGGCAATCCTTTTATGATTATGCATTTGGGTCCCAAACCTTTTTGTGAACTGGATTTGTGGTGAGAGAACCTGTTACAAATAGAAATGTATTTACATTTTAAAGGGAAAGCTCTTCTTTCCTGTGTACATACGTACTTAGGCAGTACAAACATTTACCCCCAGGGCTGTCCGCAAACATCCACAGCCATTGTCATTTACTGTCCAACACTCACATACCACCACCCTAAACTCCTGTTTAACTTGGATTCCTGTCATCTGGTTTGGGCAATGGTACACTTTACTTACACGTATCTGTACTGTATGTGTATTGCCAAAGTCGAATGAATTAAATTAACACTGTAAATAGCAAATCCATAATTAGGTCCACCATGTCATTAAGAGGTAGAGACTTTAATTACACACGTTTCAATAAGATCCTGTCATTGCTGTATAATTGAACTTCTTTTCTTCTACCCTCTCCCCCACAATACAGCCAAGTTCACAGTCTGTCATTGCTAGGGGATTTTAATTAGGATACTGCTGCATCTTAATTAGAGATGAGGTTACCTATTAGTCTTGAAATTAATTGGATTCTTTCTTTAGGTTTGTTGTGTTTTGTGTGTGTTTGTTTTTTAATACAAAAATAAGCTGGAGGTGAGAATACATATAACATAGGAAAATAATGATTGCTTCACTTTCCGTAAGCATTTGCTTGGAAAATTTCAGCCGTTACCATCCCAAAGAAGGGATGCAGTAGTAATGGCGGCTGTGGAAGGAACTGCTGCTATTTGTCCATGATTATATGGAAGACTTTTTTGTTTAGAATTGGCAGTCAAGGTGCATGCTTCCGTCCTCTGTTAGGAACCACAGATAGGTTTTAGGTAAATTTGCTTGTGAATGCTTTGTGGTTTAGTCGAAAGAGCATTCGTCCTGGTGGAGACTCTGCTGCTGCCTCCTTTATCTTGTACCTGTCATACCACCTCTTAGGGTCTAGTTTTCTCATCAATTAAATGAGACTAGATTTTTAGGCTCCCAGTTTCTAAGAATTAATATATGACTAATAAGAGAAAATAGTTTCTAGTTAGGGAAAAGAATAATCATTTCATGAATATACAGAGCCTTTATAAATTCAGGTGATTTGGATGAAGGCCAGTGAATTGGTTTAAGGTCTGAATTTTAGAGTGCTAAACAATACTGACCACAACTATTCAAGTTAAACTTTAACTTAAATTAGGCTAGCAGTATTAACATGTAGAGAAATCTTTAGGAAACCTGCAGCTGTGGATAATTCTGACTTGGAAGACATTATTATTTTGGGTAATAAAGTAACATTTTCTAAATTAGCTTAAGTATTACAGTAATACTTAACCTTTTAAAAACGTCTAAATACTAAGCCCCTGAATACTAAAAATTGAACAGGAATTATACTACGTGAAGATCAAATTGTATGAGACAAGAGAGTAGTATGAAGTTTTAGGTTTTTTTCCCCTTCTAAAAGTAAGTCTGTTAACCGTTAAAAATAAGGATAGGGGCGCCTGGGTGGCTCAGTCGTTAGGCGTCTGCCTTCAGCTCATATCATGATCCCAGGGTCCTGGGATCGAGCCCCGCATCGGGCTCCCTGCTGGGCGGGAAGCCTGCTTCTCCCTCTCCCACTCCCCCTGCTTGTGTTCCCTTTCTCTCTGTGTCTCTGTCAAATAAATAAAATCTTTTTTTTTTAATTTTTTTTTTTAAGATTTTATTTATTTGCGACAGAGAGAACGAGAGACAGAGCATGAGAGGCAGGAGGGTCAGAGGGAAAAGCAGACTCCCTGCTGAGCAGGGAGCCTGATGTGGGACTCGATTCCGGGACTCCAGGATCATGACCTGAGCCGCAGGCAGTCGCTTAAGCTGAGCCACCTAGGCGCCCAAATAAATAAAATCTTAAAAAAATTTATGAGGATATTTTTGATAGTCGTAGCTGACCATTGGAACTGGATCAGTCACCAGGTGTTACTCTCTTGTTTTGGCAGAATATGGATTTGTGCCTCTGTGAGCAAGCACGTATGTCCCAGTTAACACTGAGTGCTTTTCAGTGAAAACAAACCTGCATTGCTCAGTGCACATCTGGTTTTCAGTTCCTGGGCTCCAGATTATGTGAGGTATGGATCCGTAGTGACACCTAGTGGGTGATAAGGATATGAGCACCTGAATTTCATAGCCAGCTTCTAAGGCCTTTGAGCACCGTGGATTGGCCTTGATGTTCCACTTCTGTTACGGTTTTCATTGATTGGGATGTGGTTGTGGGGAAATTAAAAGGATTCCCATTGTTGTTGGGAATATGTGTTGTTCACATTATGGTGGAATATGAAAATTCCTGTTCTCGTTACCTAAATCAGATTAGATATCTTCTTCAAGATATCTAATCCAGTACCCCCATTCTTAAGATGAAACACACTGAAACCAAGAGAAAAGTGCCTGGGGGCGCCTGGGTGGCTCAGTTGGTTAAGCTACTGCCTTCGGCTCAGGTCATGATCCTGGAGTCCCGGAATCGAGTCCCGCATCGGGCTCCTTGCTCGGCAGGGAGTCTGCTTCTCCCTCTGATCCTCCCCCCTCTCATGCTCTCTGTCTCCCATTCTCTCTCTCAGATAAATAAATAAAAAATCTTAAAAAAAAAAAAAAGAGAGAGAGAAAAGTGCCTGATGGGAAGTCATGCAAGGAAGCGACAGGACCTAAATGTGAGCCTCCGTCACCTAATTCCAGAGCTTCCTGCTGTACCCTACACAGCATTTCATTTTGGGGTTTCTTTTTAGTTTCAGACCCTGGTTTAGATGGACTAAAGATTCTGTATTCTCAGCAGAACCAGCACTGATATGTAAAGGCATATCAGTATTCTGTATTCTTTCAGTAATTCAGGGCTGGGGCTCAAAACAGAGCTGTTGACAAAGGCAACCCAGTGCTTGTGGACATCCCTGACTAAAGCATACAAGCGGGCAAGAACCATGGTCTGTGTTGTAGAGGGGTTGCTTGCACTGAGGGTGGAGTGGGGGGGAGGAAAGATGAGACCAGTCCATCAGCACCCTCCGGAGATGCTGTGGCTTTTCTCTGGCAAGAGAGAAAGCCCCTCTGTGTTCAAACTATCCTTATTTTCTAGTGGATAGCCAGGAGAATTGGTATGAAAATAAACATTCGTAATCACTTTAGGGTTTGTGGCACATAGTCTGTTTAATCCAGATCGGATACATCAGGTACAGCAGTGGCACATGACTCAGTACTGTAAATGATAATACGTTTTAACATATGCACTACAGTTTCAAAAGAAGACGACAGGAAACTCAAGAGGTTTTGTTTTTTTTTTCCATAGAAAGTTTTCACGTTTATCTTCCTGCAGTTTTGTACAGTATTTCTTCTTTGCCGTTGAGATGTTGGTAAGCAAAGCCCATTTATTATACGAAAATAGAAAAGAACACACTTGATGTTTTTCACGATAACATTAACGGAGGGGGGTGACCTCTAAGGAAAACATTACACTGGAATGTCTGATTATCAAAAATATACCATCCCTCCCACCTCCCAGGTTTGTAAAATAGTCTATTGGTCCAAGGAGCCCCCCCAGGACTTGGGTCAGTGCCCTACACTGGTTTGGAGTGACATCATCCAGTGTAGTTAAGTAACCTGCTAAGATAAATGTCATTCCCACACTTGATGAGAAAAACATAGAACATTCTGAATAGAAAACAAGACTCAGAAGGAACCCTTTAAAGCTGTTTCTTTTTCTGATAGCCACTTTCTCTTCATGATGCTGTTTGGGCTCCAAGGGTCATGGGTCATAAAAATGCTTTTCCTTCGTCCAGTCATTTTAAAGCTTTGCAAATGATGCGATTTCATAAGGAAATCAGAAAGGGAAAATAAAAGTCTTCCAGGTTCCCGTTTGTCATGGTTACCATGCCAACTAGTTTAGAAGGGAAACTAATATTGCCTTAGATTAACAGCATTGGGATCTTTCTGCCTTGTAGTGACCTGATGATGGAAGGGAGGGAGCCTGGACCACTGGAATTCATTAATAACCTCAGAATCTAGGTTTAGCTCCATTTCAACCACTACCTCTGCAAAGTTAAGAAGACAAGGAAAAAAAATCTAGGTACACGTTTCAATGTACACTTTTCCTGCCTATATTCTGAAGAATAAGTGATATGATCCTGAACTGCAGGAATCATAGTTTGAAAACTAGGTAAAGTCCTCAGCACGTCTACAGGGTGGCTCTCATTAATCATGGATCAGCATTAACTGTCCACTTTAATTTCTGTTCAAATTCTTTGTTTCTCTTAGTTTCACTTTTCTACTTGCTGACCTTAAACTCCTGTGTGATTGTAGATTAATGTGTTCAACTGTCACTGAGAATATCTGGTCTTTCAAGCAGGATTCTGCGCAGTTAGTCCTGAACTTGACACGTTAAGGGCATAGGGGATGAAAGCGAAATAGTACAGTTTGCTTCTGGAGGTCCTGGTTCAGGGTGGTTCTGATGGAATGCTTCCTCCCCCTAATCACCACCCTGGAAATCCAAGTATTAAAAATAGAAGCAAACCCCAGAGTAATGCAATATGATGTGGGAGAAAAATCTTAGGACAAGATGTCTAAGCCCTGGATTGCAATCAGTTCTGCCACTAACTTGCCTTATGAACTTGGATAAGTCACTCAGCTTCTTCCCGCTTGCTTTCCTTCTCTGTGGATCCAGGACTTAGTCACTTGACCTACTACCATCAGAGGTTGTAGTAAGGATCAAAAGACTCTAGAAGATATGCTTTGAAATGTATCAGCCCTCTCTTCAATGAGAAGAGGTAGCATTTGGCTGAATGAAAACTGTTCGCTTGTTCACCTTTTTTTTTTTTTCTTTTTTTTGACAGAATTGATAGTCCATAGCTGGTTCTACCCAGGGCATGGTGGTTTCAAAAGGATGGTTTGTATTAGTACAGTCAAATTTTTCCCAAGGCCTGTGTCCAAGTCGTATTGACATTTACATAAGACTATGTCTCTAGTTACAGCATGTATTCTTTGATGGATCTTCTCCGAAGCGTCATTCCTTCAAGAGGTAACAAGTGTAGTGGAGAAAGCATTAGACTAACAGCCAAGTGACTTGTGTTCTGGTCCTGGTTAGGACATTAATGACTGCATGATCTTGAGCAAGTCACTTCATTTCTCTGGGCCTCAGCCTTCTATACTGTAAGGTATTCCTTAATCCCTTCTAGTTCTGATATATTCTTAATACTATGTTTTCTAAGTTTCCATTCATTTGAACGTAGCCTATAATAATAATTATTTTTTAACACTCTCTAATGCTGAGTGGCATCGAATGGGGTAAGTGGTTTTGGGAATCTTCTATTATACTGAAGTGGTTCAGGAACTATGAAAGCTCAAGAGTCATTTCCCCCTGAAAGCCATTGCTTCCAGAAAGCCCTGATATCCTGGTTCTTCAGTCACTGGTCAATGAGTTAGATTTATTACACCGATTCAGCACGCTTAGGCCTTTTAGTTGACTTACAGAAGTCTTCCAGCAATGTAGTCTTGCTGTATTCTGTTGTGTAGATGCGCCATTTTCCTGGGTTGACATCTCTTGGACCAGAGGTGAGCTGGGTCTCTTATCCCTGGCTAAGTCTACACTGGGGGATGGAGATGGAAGGGGATAGTCTAAAGTCTTTTAGGAACCGGCATAATGTGGGATTTAGACATGAAATTGAAGGAACACAAAACAGTTCATTAGGGTCAAAAAATGAGAAATTATTTGAGACATGATTTTTAAAAACGTGTTCATTAATTTTTGTGGGAAGCGCTAAAATGCTCCCTTGGTGCACTATCAAACAGATCCTGGGTTGGATATTGTCATTATTCTAATCCTGTGATGACCTGTTCTTAAACACGGGTACTTTCTATATGTATGTAACCATGTTCTTATTTTCCTCTTTATCCCTTACCCCACTCAGTTTTTATGATGTAAACTTAGATACTACAATATTCCTAACTTTGTTCCATTACCATTCTTTCAAAGGAAAAATTCCATTTCTAGTCCTGTGCCTGACCTCTACATGGAGTCCAGCCCAGGCTTTTGCCTTCCCTAATGGGATATGGGTATGAAGTGAGTGGATTCAAGTACTTATTCTCAGGTGTGTTTAGGTTGGTGGTGTTGTGTTTGTGTGTGTGGGGGGGTGTACACATATATTCCTTCGTAGTTGTAAAGCTTTTCTGTCTACTTAGATTGCAGGCTCAGAAGGCCAAAACCACCCCATTCTCATGGGGTGATTTCCCCCTAACGAAGCCAGACCCAGAGAAAGGACTCAATTGGTGGTCAGCAAGAAGAGCAGCCTCCCCGTCGTCTGCCCACCTGGCCACCTTCTGGTTAGAGGCCACCTCAGAATCCACTGACCTTCCCCTCACACAGGGTCACTAGAGCTGGGGCTTCATTAGGAGCTGGGGCCATAGGGAAGCCCACAGAAGGTGTTTTGTAGGTTCCCAACTGGTGAAACTTGTCTAGATGGTTGTGGTCGGCAGAGAGGTCCTTGGCCTACAGTGAAACTGCTGATCACTAACCTGTAGAATGGATGAGGGGCTTCTATATCTCAGAGCCCAGACTAGAGAGACCGCAACTGGGGAGGGTGGGCAGGGGCTTGTCACTAACCCTGAGGCCCACCTGCCTGCCTACAAGCAGTGAAAAATGGTAGGAGGCTTCCAGAAATGCTTTCCCAGTCCCCCCAGGGTACAAACCACTTGAACAGGTTCTCCAAAAGTAACATCACTTCCCTTGCACGGAGGTGATCAGGCTTCACCCACACTTCAGTTACCTTTGGGGACATCAGGCCTGAAGACCCTTCAGACCTCAAACATTTTTCAGGCCAGGTAAGAATCGTCTAGAATTGCTTACTTGCTTTCACACTTTGGAGCATCCTTCATGAAGCACACAGGCTTAATCATCTGCAGCCTCTGGATGGGAGTTACCTCAGTCATAAGGTAAGTCGGAAGCTTGCCTTTTCTGCAAGAAACTGCTTATAGGGCCTCTTGGCAGAATTCTGGATGGGCTTTATGGTGGGTCTTGAAAGAAGGGTACATAACAAGGTGCTCCAGCGGCCGACTACAGCTGTGAGCCCTGGGTTCTTCTGTTCTCTTTTCGCTAGCACACACCTGACTCCACTGTGCCTCCTAGGTCTTGGCTATTTTCTGTGTCAAGATCCCAGTGTGAAAAATCTGGTCATTCCCTTTTTTTCCCCCAGAAATGGAAACTGCAAAGACCACCACTGCAAGGGAAGCATTTTGTTCTATAAAGTGGACTTCCCTCATCCCTAAACTCTTCCGTTTTAGCTTTATTCTCTTCTTTTACACAGCCGCACTCACACAACTGTAACTCCCAGGCATGAGTCTGCAGGTGCTTGGAAGTGGAGAAGCCTTTACTAACATGTCTCAGGATCACCGGGGTCCATGTAGAGACAGATGGCTGGACACAGAGAAGAACAGCCAGGGGGGTGAAGCAGAGAGGTACAGAGACAAAGGACAGACGGAGGGAAAGTGTTGCTGTATGGTCAGTTGGCAGCTCTGTGCAGGTCAGCTGGGCAGTGGGGGCCCAGGCTCAGTTGACCTCACCCACCTGGGGGAATGGAGAGAGGACTCAGCAATAACTGACTTCTTAGCCTAAGAGCTTCTGCTATAAAAGGAGAAAGAAAAACAAAAACAAAAACAAAACAAAACCCTCACAAAATGCATTGTTTTGGTTCAAAGGTATTGGGTCCATGGAGAAAAATATTTCACAAAAATCCGTTGGTGTTTTGTTTTCCACCTTTTCCCATGAATAAATATTATCCATTAAGAGCCTTGAAAAAGGTGCTTAAATACACAGTGTTATATTTTCTTCCTGTTTTGCCTGTGACAACTCGGCCTCTGTGCTGTTCTTGGTCTTGTATTTTCCTCACCCGGGTCTCCAGAAACAACTGCTATTGGGCCTGAGGCTACCCCCTCCAGGCCCTGTCCTGGCACGCAGCCTCTACACCACCCACCCCCCCACCGCCATCCCATCGCCCACCCCCCTCCCTTCCTCTGGCCCCAGCGAGATGCCACGGCCACGGCCACGCCAGCAGCAGTGAACCTCAAGTGCCCTTTGCTGCCTCCTTTTCCTTCCAGGCACAAGTCTCAGTGCTAGGGGTGCAACGGGGCCGGCAGAAAGTGGGGAAGGGAGGGGAGAGAGCGGTGCCAGTGGCCACCCACATGCCAGCCCCCTTCACTCCCACTCCCCGCACGGGCCCTCTGTCCAGCGGTTTTACAAGGCGGAGACCTTGACGACATTGCTGGCTACGGAAGGAATGTTCGTGTTGGGGCCGGGGCTGGCAGGGGGTGGCCGACTTTCCCCCTCTGGGGTTCGCGCTGGGGGGGTGGGGATGCTGATGATGGCTGTGGTGATCTGGGATGTTTTGCAGTTTGGTCTCAGTCCGTCGTCTGCTTTCAAATTAAGGCTGGAGCGACTGAGATAAAAAAAAGAGTGAGTTGGTGATGGTGCTTCTTGCTAGTGTCCCTAGCGTCCCTGACCCCCCCCCCCACATGTCTAGCTCACTGTAACTAGGAGGACGCTCCCGCGTCCCTCTGTCTCTGCTTTTGGTAATCAGCCTGTCACTCTCCATTCTAATTATTATTTCTGACAATTGCGAAGTCCTGTACACTGGGCTTTGGAATTCAGAGTATGCGGTTTTTTTTCTCCCTGCCATAGACCGTTTACCTATCCTTTGTGGCATTTGAATTTTGTTTTCCCTGAGTCCCTTGCAACTCACTGGAGGTAGTGGAAAGTGGCCTAAGTATAAGCAGAGAAGGAAGGGAAAAGGTCAGTCTGTGGTTCAAAGTCAGCCTGGGATAAGCCATGTCTAACACAATTGTGAAAATTGTTTCCCTGGGAAAACGATCCGTTCTTTGCACTAGGGGAGGTGTTTTTCTTTGTTTTGTTTTTTTGTTTCCCAGTTACTGTTTCTGGTATCTAACCCCACATTGGGCCTACACCTGCTATGGTACCCTCCCAAGCAAATGAAGGGCCTTTGGGTTAACTTGCAAAGATAAGGAAGGTGGAGGGGGCTCATGCATTACATAAGGGGAAGGAGGGCTCACTTGGGGCTCTCCTAAGGCCGAGGCTGTTCCCTTCTGGGACCGGCAGGACTCAAGCCTTGGGGAGTGATGGGGCTGGAAGCCACCCACCTGGTAGTGAGGGAGGGCTGCTCACTGCCCTGGATGTGGATCGTGCTGAGCTCTTGCATGCTGCGCAGGCGAGTGGCTGGCAGGTTGGAGTTGGGCAGGTGCGTGGTCTTCTTACTACGACGGGAGCAGCAGGTGGTAGTGAGGCCCGGGTGACTGGACAGTGAGGGACTTCTTGTGGACGGGTAGTTCTGCATCGAGCTCTCCATACAGTTCTGCTCAAACATCTGCTCATCTATGAACTCGTGGTTCTGTGGGAAGCAGAAGGAGAAGAGGTAGGAAAAGGAGATGGGGAAGGAGGGGGATGAGCCCCTGTGTGCCGTGTAGCTGCCTGTCTCTGTCTGGGCGTCGAGAGGAGGGATCCCAGTGGCCTGGAGCATGGAGAAGCATTCGGGAGGGGCGATGTCCCACAGGCATCAAATGCAGAAAGAAAAAGATTCCTATTGGCAGCCCTGGCCATCAGGTTGAAGGGTGGGGACTGCAGCCATTAAATCGTGATGGGACATACACCCCATCTACAGCTTTGAGCTGACGGGACACAGAGGACCTGGAGGGATTTAGTGGCATCCTCAGAGCTAGAAGCAGACTTGACTTACTTTGCAGGGTTTGCACAGGATCTCCTGGAGGTGGCAGGTAAGGAGTCACTGACCCTGGGGAGTGGGTATGCTACGCAGTCTTGAATGCTGGGTTGGATTTAATGGGTAAGATCCTTATGAATCTTGGGTACGTGTGAGATATAAGCTTTTGAAGGCACTGGATTATTCATGGAATTGGGAGAACTTTGCTCTTGAAGGCCAATGGGGTCTGTCAGGGTTATGATTTCTTTAATTTTTTTGTTCCCCCCCCTCCACCTGATTATGGGATGCAGATCCTTAATATATCTGGAGGCACAGGATTCCCTAAGTCAAATATAAGCAGGGGAAGGAATGTTAACAGCCTCCTGGTGCTGAACCCGGGATAACCGAAAAAAAAAAAAAAAAAGGCTGTTTGGTCAAGGTGACTAAAAACCTATGGTATTAATGGTCTGGCTGAGGCTGCCATTCTGGAGAGAATAAGCATGAGAAGAGCGTGCAGAGAGAGACCAGCCCTGGCAGCCAGTACCAGGAGCCCCTGCGGAGCTGGGGAAGGGGCCCAGGGACACTCACAGGGGACCAATATGGCTGCCATGTTCTGCCACCCTCTCTAAGCCCTTGGGGAGGTCAAAGGAGGGAAGCAGAAAAGCAGTCAGGTAGTTCAGCACAAACACCCCAAAGCCTGAGCTGCTGCTGGGAGTGGCAGTAGAGGTAGGAAAAGCCCCAGAAGAATTGATAGCACATGCAGAGAACCAGACCAGGGGGTAAAAAGAGGAGAATCCACAGACTCAGAATATTCAGAGAGAAACACATCAATTGAATTTTTAAAAAAGTGATACCTTGATGGTGGAGGTTCGTACAGATAACAGGGGATCATCCACAAGATAGGACAACCCCTACAGGACAACATGCCAACAGAAGATAAAAACACCATTGATTGTACATTCCAGCATTCCCAAGCTCAGTTCTGACATTCAGTCCCTCCATCCCAGCATTCCACCCGGGAGTCCAACATTCCACCCCTTGTTCCAACACAACCCTGTTCAAACCCCACATTCATTCCTTCCATCCCAACATTCTGCTTCTTCTAGCCCAACATTCCTCCCCTGAAGTCCAGCATTCCATCTCTTTCACCCCAGCACCCCTGCCCCACAATCCGACATTCACTCCCGCAAATTCAGCATTCCATCCCTTCAATGCCAACATTCCAGCCCCTCAAACCCAAACATCTTTACCCATATCCTTTCAGTTGACACATTCCACCCAGCACATGCAACTTGGAAAGGGCAGTTGGGTCCGGGCCTATCCCGTTGGCAAGCTCTGAGTCTTTGAGAGAAGTTCTAGATATACATATACAGTTCTTAACAGTAAGACATATGTGATAAGTCCTGGAAACTAGGGTTCTCCGAGTACTTTCCCATTTGGGAAGCCCTCTTTGGGTTCAACTGCCATCCACAGTATCCACACTTGGCTCACAGTAAGAGTCATCTGACGTCTATTCCCCCTGCACCTAGAGGCCAGGATATGGGACATTCAGAAGTAGAAACTTCCTTCCCTAGGGTGCTGAGCCCTGACCCTGGGCTCTCTGGGGAGGGCGGGCCTAGAAAGAACAGGGAAGGGTTGCACTTTGTCTCTCTTGGGTTGTCCACCCTGACTTCTCCTCTTCCCTACTGTTCCTGGCACTTTTTGCCAAGGGTCCAGGATTGGCCCCACTGCCCTTCCTTTCAGTCTGTTTGTGGGGCACAGGCAACATGCCACATTCCAGCTACAGCATCCTAAACCATGGCTCTATTTTAACCAGAAGTCTTGCAGAATCTGAACTCCCTGGGCGCTGCAGGGTGACTAAGAGGGAGCGGTACCCATACAATCCCTGGCTAGAGAAATATAGGCACCGCCTCCTTCATTCACTGTCCTCTAAGGAGCAGTGTAGGGAGCAAAAGGGACCTACACGTTGCATCAGCCTAGCCCCAGGGACAGGACAAAAACTGATGCCCTTCTCCACTGTCCTGTAGCAACCTAGGATAAATTCAGCCCGAGTTTTGAAGAGTGATGCCCATCCGGACTGAGAAACAGAGGCGGAGCCCTCAGCTCTCAGTAACCATGAAAACACGGCTCTAGGGGCCCTGTGGGGGTGTGCAGAAAAGCTGGGGGCAATGAGCTTCTCTGTTGCTGCAGGACGGAGCTGGCCTCCGACCCTGGAGACTGCGCCCCGCCCCCCTCCTTGGGGTCTTCCTCCTGAGGGCAGACAGAGACCTCGTGGCTATTCTTTGGATCTGAAGGGGACAGACTCGGACATCTGCAGCCTGGGCCCGGGGCGAGGATGCGGGCACAGAGCTCTCCCCTTGTGAGCTCCAGCCCTCAGAGAGGAGGGTGGGAGTCAGGGGTGAGAAGGGGCGCGGCGGGCTGGGACTCACAGTGGTTTTCTCTAGACAGTGCAGCAGGTGGTGGTGCTGGCTCTCGGCGAGTGATGTGCTCTTGCCCACGTGCCCCTCCTCTGGGGTGCCCTAATCAGAAAAGAGGAGAGGCTGCGGATCATGCTGGTGGCTCCTCCCGTCTTCTCCGTGTCCTTCGTTTCTCCACAGGAGGTGGGAGGGCCCCAGAAAAATCGGGATGAACCAAATTTCAGGGTCACCAGAGAACATGCTAGCTCTGGAGCTGGGGGCCCTGGGTCTTCAGCTGGGTCCAGGGTAGTGGTGAGAATCCCATGGGAGAGGGTCCATGGAGGGGTGCTCCCGGGAGAAGGTCTGGAAACATGTCCTTCTTAGGGTTCACACTGGGGCTTTGGGGGTGGTGGTGCCCCTGGAAAGAGAAAAGAAGCCCGTCTCCCCTCCCTCTCCCCAGCCCAGGCCCTGCAGGCACCTACCATCAGCTCCATGGCCTCCGTGAGGAGTCCGTTGCGCTTGCTGTGCAGGTAGGCGTTGGAGCTGCCTGTCTTGGCCACACGGATCCTGGCAAGGCGGGCCTTCTGCGATCGGCAGAGAAAAAAAAGAGTGAGCGAGCCTGAGAGACCAGACAGCGAGCCTGGCAAAGCCAGTGACAGCAGGCCGTCCCGGCACGGCTGCGTTCCCAGGTGATGCCTGATGAAGGGGAGGAAGCGGCTTCTTCCCAGCCACTTACAGATCTCTGTCCGCAGACCCTGGCCCTGGGCCTGAGACTCTGCGTACCCACTCGGTGCAGCCTGGTCCTGGTCAGAGTTCCCAGGGGTCTCTACTCACCTCTCCAGCCTTGGTGCAATCCCGGCAGCAGAAATACCACTCATCAAAGCCCTGCCTCCTCCCAAAAGCTTCATGATCTTTACCTACTCGGTCTCGCACTAGAGTATTTCTCATCTCTAACTGGATCGCCAGCTCTAGAAAGGAGCATGGGTTATCTCACCCAGCTGTAGACCCAGGGCCCCCAGCTCCAGAGCTAGCATGTTCTCTGGTGACCCTGAAATTTGGTTCATCCCGATTTTTCTGGGGCCCTCCCACCTCCTGTGGAGAAACGAAGGACATGGAGAAGACGGGATATCCCGACACTCCTCGAGGGCCCGGGGCCCTTCCCTGTACCCAGCAGGTGCCCAAACATCAGTTAATTAGGAGAAAAGCAAGGAGTGTGCATCCTGTGCCCTTCAACATGTCTTCACTTCTTCCCTTCTTTCTATTTTGCCCTTAGCACTTATGACTAAGGGAGGATACGGTGTCTGCGTTTACTTTGCCACTGCCTCCCAGAATGTAAATTCCTTGTGGGCAGGAGTTTTCGTTTTGTTCACGGATGTATCCCCATGGCCTGGTAATTTTTAAATCAGTAAAAGTCTTTAAAATCGCAGGTCTGTTTTGGGGTGTGGATGCATGCATGGAGGGGCCAATACGTGTCCGTGCTTGTCGGGGACGAGAGCAGGTGCACGCGCGTGTGACGCGGTGGCCCACTGCCCGTGTGTGAGAGAGGGGAGGATGGAACACATTTTCACACACCGCTCTGGCTTTAACTAGGACAACTGGAACGCTCCCCGGCCCCAGCCTGGGAGGCCCCAGCAGGTCCCCTGCAGGGGGGCCGCCGGGTATCTCAAGGCAAGCGTGCATCTGTCCTGCTTGCAGAGGCAGGGGGAGGCGGGACCCACTGGGCACGCCGGCTGCTCCTGTCTTTCCTAATAGCCATAATCAGTGGCACCGCGACACCAGCACAACCACGGAGGGAGGCCCAAGAGGAAAGGGGCTTTGGGAGAAGGGTTCCTGCTGGTTTACAGAAATGCAGCCAGAGTCTGGGCTCCTGCAGGTCTCTGTAGAAGCAGCTCTAGGTCCACGCCGCTGGAAGCAAAGGAGCCCACAGGGACTCACAGGTGATCCTGGGCCAGAGGAGCCCCTCCCCTGCCTTTGTGAAAGTCCGCTGTAACTTCGCCATGGACTCCAAGCAGGACAACAGGCCTTGGGAAACTGTGGCAATTTCCGTGTCTCCGTTTACCTCTCCCCGGCAAGGGGAAGCGTCCCTTCCGAGTGTCCTGCTGGGCTGTCGCGTGTGCTAAAAAGAGGCCAGGGAGTCGGCTTCAGGCTGTCAACGGAAGCACAAGGACACACTAGGTCTCTGGTTTCCTGTGGCCTGCGTGTCCCCACGGGGACAGCTCGACTCCCTTTCCTGGCTTCTGAATATGGGGAAGAGGCCAGGGCTTGGACCCGGTGGATCTGCCTGTGAGTCTGAGGGAGAGCGCTTCTCTAGATGGTGAGAGCGGAAAGGGGGATCCGGCTGGGAAAGGATGACAAGGAAAGCGAGGAAGCCCTGTCAGTCCTCTTCTCTCTGGGCCAAGAACTTTCATCCCAGGCCCAGGACCGCGCCAGCCCTACCCTCAGCGACACGTCTACATTCAAGCATGTTGCTCATCATTTGAGGATGCGGCTGTTATTGCCTTGGGTGAGGACTGGGTGTTGAGAGCTGCATATGGAAATCCAATTGTGTCAAGCTCATTATAGCCTTCTAAAATTTGCGCCACTTAGAGCCAGACCTTTCTCGTATCTGGGGTCTGTCTTCATTACTTTCTAGAGATGAAAGATTCTCCTGTTCTCCTTTGTGGCACTTCTTTTAATCTTATCTTACCCTGGGCTCTATTAAAGCAACAGATTATCATATCAAATGCACAACACTGTTTAATCATTTCCCACACAGGATAAAGAGGTTTGCAATATATTTACAGAACCATACCCGGCACGTGAAATTTGGTGAGGATTTCTCGTTTGACTTTGAGCTCCTGAGAGCCAGAGTCTGGCTTACGCATATTTTTATCTTCGGCGTCTGACACGGGGCTGTGCACGGAGCAGGCGTTCAAGCCAGGCTGGTGAGGACCCAGGAAGGAGAACGGTCCTTCCCAGTCGGTCAGAAATCCATTAATAAGGCCCTGGCCATGGGCCCATCCCTGTATGGCCTGGTCAGCCTCTCCCTCCTCCACTGGCCAGGAGCACAACGTGAGAGGTTAAAAGAGAATGTGGCCGTCATCTAGGCTATTTTGAAGACAAGAAAATGGAGGCTATGAGGGGAAGTAACTTCTCCAGGACAAAGCAGCAAGGCTGGGGCGGGGGGCGGGGGGGGGGGGCTTCTGCTCAGGTCTCTCTACCTTCGGGCCAAATGCTGCCTCCATAACAGCCCTCTTCCTGAATTTCAACGCCTGCCAGGCAAGTTTCTAAACTGGATGATAGGCCCAGGAAGTTGCAGTTTCAGCTGGGATGGAGATTCCAGGGTTGGAGGAGAGGTCTGGAAGGAGGATGCTCCCACTCTCGGTATGATTCCAGGTGCTGTCTGGGTCACGAGTATTGACATGTCTTGCCCCGGACAGTCAGGAGAAGGAAAAAGAGGGAGACATGGGAAAAGCCACAGGAGAACACGGCCAATTGCACTCTCGGGCGTTCATCCCAGAGAAATGAAAAGTTACGTTCACACAGAAACCTGTTCACGAATGTTCACAGCAGCTTTACTTGTAACAACCAAAAACGTGGTTTGTATAGTCCCATGGCACAGGATACATCTATGCCATGGGATACTGCCCAGCAAGAAAAAGGAATGGACTATTGATACTTATAAACCTGGATGCATCTGCAGGAATTATGTGAAATGGAAAAAAACAAAACAGAAAACAACCTCCAAAGGTTACCTACTGCACGAATCCATTTATGTAGCATTTTTGAAATGAAAACATTGAGTAAATGGAGGATAGGTAAATGGTTGCCGGGGGTTAGGGATGGGGAGGAGGTAGGGTGGGAGGAATGCTTATGGTGCTGGAACGGTTCAGCACCTTGACCGAGGTGATGGAGGCATGAAGCTGCCTGGCATCAAACTTCACACACACACACACACACACACACACTCCCACACATGAGTACACGTAATACTAGGGAAGTCTAGAATAGGATTCGTGGATTGTATCAACATCCATACCTGGGTAGTGATAATCTTATAACTTACATGTGAATCTATGCTTAGCTCAGTAAAAATCCAGATGTTCCCTTCTCTCTGTCCACTGCTAGATGTCCTTACTCGATCTTCAATTCACTTGGCTTCGAGAACCTAGCCTCTGAAGCCAAGAGTTGTGGAGTTCGTTTCAGTAACAACCCCAAGCAAACCAGTTGTGAAGGGAAATGGTGACAACTTCTTAAGCCTTCCCTTTACAGCTGAGGCCGGGGGAACCTTTTCCTTCAGGGCTGTCTAGCTCCTGAGTGCGTGGTCTGGGCTGAGAACTACCAGCTTCCCTGACCTCCTCCCTGTCCCATGTCTCCACCGCCACGAAGTCTCCTGTACCTGCCTTCCTTGCTTTGCAGCGACAGACTCAGTGCTGGAAACAGGCAGTATTCTTGTATTCTTTTTTTTTTTTTTTTGCCTCTTGCAAGCAGCCCAAGGTGAAAGAGACAGAGCCAGCAACCTTGAGGGGAGACAGTATCCAGGCGAGGTGAAAACACTGTAAATATTTACTCTGACTTCAAAGGGAAAGGGGAGAGGGTGGGGGGAGGCAGAAGGGAGGGAGTGTGGGCTTTAGCAGCTAGAAGGAGGGACGCACCAAGGCTGATTCCTTCTGCATTGTGATCACACAGGATGAGCTTTGTAAGGTCCTGGTGGAAATGATCACTGTTCCGTTCTTTGCAGGGGTAAAACGGCAGGGGATGTGATGCTCTGAGAGGTGGGTAAGGGTGTGGGCACACGGAGGGAAAGGTAGCTGCGGGAGCACTTTATAGCCCAGCCTGCCTGGGCACAGCGGTAGGCTAGTGTGTGAGCTGGGGATTCCTTTGACCCTACCCCGCTGGACCAGATAGCTGTGTCAGCCCAGCCCCTGGGGGGTGGGGTTTTTCTAGGACCCCTGGTCCTTTCTTGAGGACAGCATAATGAATTTAGATATTGTCCAACATTTACCAGCTGACTCGAACAGGAGAAGGAGATAAGACTTCTATTTCTGGGTGGCTAGCAGGGGGTGGGCGTGGGGAGGCCTGGACCTTGGGTGAAGAGGTAGGAAATGGGTGCCGGAGCAGAGGGAGAGGACAGCACAGAGCCAGAAGATCGATCTAAGGCAGGCTGGCAACATTCAGAGCCAGGTCAAGATAAGTCAAAAGGTATCTCAACCCGGGCTGGGGGCGTGACCACGAGGGCACGCAAAAGGGGCTATGTTGGAAGTGGGAACCAACTGGATTCATTATGTACTTGCATAACATATATTATTAAGTATTATTGTACATAAATTACCATACGTTTCAGAGCTAACGTTCATGAACGTTGTGACTTCATTTCAGACAGCGTATACAGATGTGTTCTGAAATTCTGGATTCCTCTGATATGTCAAGGAAGACCTGCTACTTGGTGTTACCCCTGTAAATGGGAGGCCAGTAGCAGGCACCGTGGGGGAGGAAACCACCAGCCACACACACACGGCCTAACACACCGCAGGTGCAGGAAATATTTGTGGAATGAATGAATGACAGAAAGAATAAAATAAGGACATGAAATCTCTGGCCCCCGTTAAGTGACTCTCTCAACGAGGTCCCCCATCCACTGTACCCAGAAAGGCTCTGACCAAACCTCCTGGAGGTTGGGTGGCTGCTGAAGGGGTACCTATTTCAGCCCAGATCAGAAGAGAAATGGAAAACGGGCCCCGTAGTCCTCCCCTTTCCTGATAGGAAGCTGACAAAAGTCACGACCCAAGAACCTTCACGAGCCAGATGCCCTAAGAACGCACCAAAGCCTTCAGCCAGTCTTCCTTTGGCATGGGGGCATTTGACTGCCCTGCCTTCTTAAGCAGTGTATACTGGACATCACCACAAACTATTCTCAGCACCAGTGTCTACTCTCCTGGTCATCAACCGCAGTTCTGTGCCTGAACCGCAAACACCCCGAGGTGACCAAAGCATGTCGTGCCTTTTGTTCTGGAACTCAGCGGCCTCAGAATGTTCTTCTTTCAGAGTATTCACTTTTCTTCTCAGCAAATTTCTGTTCTGTCCCTATGTTTTGTATCGGCTAGCAGAGGGTATTGGAGAGCAATTACGTGCCCCAGTAAGCTCCTGGCAGGGACAGGGAGGGGTCCGGGGCACTGAGTGTTGGTGGCTGAGGTCTTGAAGGGGAAGCCAGGGCTCAAGGAAATTGCACAGAACATCCAGGAGGGAGAGAGTCAGCTTATGGATGATTGAGGGCTTGTTGCACTTTGCAGCTGACTGGGGCTCGGACTTGGAATGCAGGACACTGGTCAGAAGGAAGGGACAAAAAGCTGCCCTACCTTCAGAAGCTGGAGGCTGGGGGATCAGCCCCAGAAGTCCAGGCCTGGCGACCTGACTGTGACCATGGCACAAGGCCCAAAGCAGAGGGCCAGGCCCCTGTCTGAGCCCCCCAGGCTGAGTCTTACCTTTTGTGCCCTGCGTTTATCGGCTCTCTGATTCTGGTGGTAAATCCGGCTGAAGTTGGAAACGATCACAGGGACCGGCAGGGCAATGACCAGGACACCACTCAGGGAGCAGATGGAGCCAAAAATCTTCCCTGCAATTGTCTTGGGCACCATATCTCCATATCTGAGAGAGAGAGAGAAAGAGAGAGAGAGAGAGAGAGAGAGAGAGAGAAACAGGTGTGAGGAAGAGGGGACACTGGGGAAAAAAGCCAGGCCTCCATGCCCATCACTCACCCATCCATCCACCTATCCATCCATCCATCTATCTATCCATCCATCCATCCATCCTTTCATCCATCCATCCATCCATACACCCCTTCATTCAACAGTTGTTTGAAGTGCCTACTCCATGCCTACTCTGACCTGGGAGCGAACAAAACAGACAAGATCCCTGCATTCCCAGAGGCAACCACCTACAAGGGGAAGACCATTAAACAAATAAGGGAACACATAAAAACACTGACTCATCGTTATTTCTATGAAGAGAAGAGAGACAGGTGCTGTGCCAGGCGGGGGCAGTGTGGCCAGGAACGGCCTCGCTGAGGAGCTGACATTTCAGCTGAGATCTAAAGGTAAAGGATCCAGCAGGCAATGGGGAAGAGTGTGCCAGGCAGAGGGAACAGAAAGGCAGAGACCCTGAGGAAGGAGGGAGCATGGCAGGCTCTGGGCATGACTGCAGGCCTGCTGGTGGGGAGACAGGGGTGGAGGGTAGCTACAAAAGGAGGTCAAGGCCACCCCACAGAGTGTGGATTTTGGGCCAAGTGCCGTGAGCAGCCACGGATGCATATTAGGAAGAAAAGCAGCACAATCTCATTTATGTTCATAAAAAAACAAATAATAAACTCACCCTCTATTCACGTGGAGACATAATACACAAAGCCCTTCTGCACGCTTACCTCCCACCAGCTCCATGGACCCTGTGAACTTTGTGTCCTCAGCCCCACTGTGCAGATGCGGGAAGTGAGGCTCACAGGCCGGGGGACTGCCCACGCTGGGGGAGAGGCTGGGATCAAAACCCATTCCTCTTGCTTTCATTTGTTTTCTACCAACCACACCATCTCAGAGGGCAGCCGTGAGCTCCAAACCTCAGCCCCCTAAGCCGTGCAGCCACTTTGGGACGGCGCCGGCTCGTCTCAGAGCTCAGAGAGTCTCTCCTAAGTGCTTCCCACCCTGGTGGCTGCCCCGGGGGGACCAGCTGGGCCTGGCTCCTGCTCAGCCCCAGGCAGGCAGGCCAGAGCCTCTCTTCTCCGATCAATAAGGTACTCTCAGCAGTGGTTAAGTGTTTAGCCTCTTCTTTATTGAGATAAATTAAAGGCTTCATTAGGCAAAAGCTGTGATGACTCCTTTGGCCAAAGCCAGAAACACCTTCCCCCCCTCACCCCTGTGTGTGTCTGGAGCAGAAGCAGGGGGAGGAGGACCAGGAATTGCTGCCACGGAAATCTCGAGGCTCACAGTCCCTTGTCCTGAGGGGACCCAGGTGCCCTGAGGACGCAGAGAAGAAGGAGAAGGGGATAGGGCGGATCTTTTCCAGAGTGTGACGTCCTCCCCTCCTAAGCACCTAAGGGCTCCGTGGACCATATGCCAGCCGTTGACACATATTTGGTGAGTGAATGAGTGACCTCATTTAAGGCTCTCGACACCCTGTGAATTAGGCTCCTCTTCTGTGAACGCTCTTCCTTCTCCTTCGGTGTCTCGGCCCTTTGTCCTGGCCTCAAGCTCTCTCTGTCATGCCACTGACGCCAAGCCCAAGGCTGCTCTTTTGGGGAATGCTGACGTTAGGCTCTCTGGCTCCGCCATGCTGCCCAGGAGGGGCCTCTGGGGGTGTGTGGTCGAGAACCTGGCCTCCAGACGCAGACGACCTGGGTTCCAGCCCCACCCAGCTCACCATCAGATCACCGCACGACCTTGGGGGAATGTGACTTTGGGCCTCAGCCTCTCCTTGTCTGTCAAGGGGAGATAGAACGAGTAACCTGGGCCACAGTCCTCTTGCGACAGGTGCACCTCCATGAACCACACACACCATTACTTTGACCCAGGAGTCCCGGAAACCGTGGTCTCTGTGGCTGGGAAACTCTAAAAACACAGCTGATTGTGCCGTGGGCAACTAATCCCGTTGGTGAAGGAAAGGGGGGTTGCCCCTGGAGGCGAATGATGTTAGCGGGGATTTTCGGGGATGTGACTGAAAGGTGGACATTGGGTGGAAACGAATCGTGGCAGGAGAATGTAACACGGTGTCAGAAAGCCTCCATTTGGGGGTGATGGTGGCTGGTGAAAAATGCTACGGACACAGAAAGGTGGTTTTATCCACTGGAAGAAAGAGTGAGGAGTAGAGCCGAGCCTGCTGCTGGTGCAGATGGTGTGCTGGTAACAGACGATTGAGCAAAAGCAGGACAACTCAACTCCCGTGCGCTCTCTGCCTTCTCCACCCAGAAGAACAGGCTTTATCTTGGAAAGGCTGAGGCAAATGTTGGGGGGAAAGGATGCGGAGCTCGAGGGCGGGGAGGGGCGAGCAGGCGAGCGCCCAGCTGTCTTCAGTGGAGGCACCTCACAGGCCCACCTGGATCCCACCCCAGGAGACAGGAGGGATGCACAGATGGAGTTGTGGAGCATTGCCCATGACGGCTGAGAAATCATGGCGCGGCGCAGAAATACGGAGAGACTGAAGCTTGCAAACGGCTGTGTTAGCGTTTTTGAACACGGAGCGGGGGGGGGGGCGAGGGGGGGAAGGAAGTCTGAGAAGCCACAGACCAACAGGCTGGGCACCCATCAATTCTGCCATCAAAGTGCTGGCAGAACCTGAGAGCAGATATTAAGTGGACAGCTTGCGAACACTTGGAAAATAAGCCGTATTGCTCACTAGGCATGCGTCTTGCCAAATTAACCTGATTTCTTGTTTTGGGAGGGTTCGCTGGCTGGTGGATCAGGGGACTGCTGCATCATGATCTTAGCAAGATGTGTTCTTGTCCCAGTTCCTCATACCCTTGACAAGCTGGAGGAATGGGTGTGAATGGCAGTGCGGTCAGGAGGGGCTGAACAGACACCTTCGGGCACTTTCCAAAGATGACCAACAGCGGTCCTATGCCAGCAAAGGAAGTTCATGGCTTTCGCGTTAGAAGGCTCTCCTTTAGTGAAAGGGTAAATAAGTAAATGAAATAAAGAATGGATCGAGAGCTCGGTCTCCAGTGGTGTGTTCCAGAATTTCTCTACAACTTATGTAAAGCCAGAGGGAGGCAGCATGGCCTAATGATTGAGAGAGGAGACTGGCGACAGGTCCCAGGTTGATCCCCGGCCCCACATTACTCAGGGGTTAAGTGACCTTGGGAAAGTTATTTAAGTGGAGCCGCTACCCATATAAAATCAGTTTCATATACCTAACTTACAGGGTTGTTGCAATAATTAATGAGATGATTCAGGAGAGGCACTTAATGTTGTCTCTGGGTAAATGTAAATTCTCTATAAATAGCCAGTGCAGTGGGCACGTCTGGTTTTGTCTGCTAATGGCCTACCCATCCAGGAACTGTGCCCTCCCCACCATTACGACATAAACTCTGTCCAGAGGAGCTGCCATATTCTTACAAACCCTCCCTTCTGCCCCTGCTCCCACCGGGCACGGTTAACAGGTTCAGAATGAGGCATCTGACTCACGCTGGGCCATGAGCTCCTCTCCTGGATTCATTTGTTAACAACTTTACTGACATATAACTTATATATCATACAATTCATCCATTTAAATCATACAATTCAAAATTTTTAAAAAATATTTTATTTATTTATTTGAGAGAGACAGAGTACGCATGAGCAGGGGGGAGGGGCAGAAGGAGAAAGAAGCAGGCTTCCCACTGAGCAGGGAGCCCGATGTGGGACTCGATCCCAGGACCCTGGGATCATGGCCTGAGCTGAAGGCAGAGACATAACCGACTGAGCCACCCAGGTGCCCACGATTCAGTATTTTTCAGTGTATTTACTGAGTTGTACCACCATCACGACAGTCTAATTTTAGAACATTTTCATCACCTCCACCCTCCAAAAAACCTCACACCCATTAGCAGTGAGGGATCATCCCCCCCCGCCTCAGCCCTAGACCACCACTAAATTACTGTCTGTCTCTATAGATTTCCTTCTTTTGGACATTTCATATCAATGGAATCCTACAATACATGGCCTTCTGTGTCTGCCTTCTTTCACTTAGTGTGATGTGCTAAGGCTTCGAGGCTCATCCCTGTTGTAGCAGGGGCCACTATTTCAACCCTTTTGATTGCTGAATAATATCCCATTGTACGGATGTCCCGCAGTTTGCTCTTTCACCCATCTGTTGATGGACGTTTGGGTCCTTTCCACTCTGGGGCTATTACGAATACTTTCTGCTCTGAAGAACTGTGTATGCGTCTTTGTGTGGAAAGATGTTTTCCTTTTTCTAGGAGTCACGTGGCAACTGCATGTTTAACAGTGTAGGGGACTGCTGAACTGTTTTCTAAAGTGGCTGCACCACATCGCATTCCCACCAGCACTAAATTAGGGCTCCACTTCCTCCATATGTTCACCAACACTTGTTACTATTTGTCTTTTGAGTCTAGCCATCCTAGTGGGTGGGAAGTGGTATCTCACTGTGGTTTTGATTTGCATTTCTCCTGCTGGCTACTTATATGGGGCGACGCCTTCCCTCCCCTGGAGTGCTATCTTTGCGATGAGACCAATCTCTTCACAGAGGGTTGACCCCAGGCTGTGGTCAGAGAGGGAGCAGGCTGACGCAGAGAAAGAGGTGAGAAGTGGAAAAGGGGCTCTGATGGAGTCCAAGTTCCTGTCCTGATTCTGAGGGCCAGCTTTACTGTTGCATTCCCTGTGGCTTAACTGTTCAGTCCTTCTTCTGAGTCTGCGCACCAACAAATTCTTGTTTCTGCTTTAACGTTCTTCCACTCGGATCCCATAATAAGGACGACGGTGATGGTGTTGATCAGGGTACTGCTGCTGATGATTATTTTTACAATTAATTTCCTTTATTGAAGTATAGCTGACATACAATAGCCTATTAGTTTCAGGCATGCACCATAGAGATTCGATATTTTTATACATGACGCAATGATCCCCATGATAAGTGTGGTCGCCATCTGACATGGTACAAAGTTATGA